TGTGGCCGAGTTGACTTGTGGCCGAGTTGACTGTAGCCAAACTTTCTGTGGCCGAGTTGACTTGTGGCCGAGTTGACTTGTGGCCGAGTTGACTTGTGGCCGAGTTGACTTGTGGCCGAGTTAACTTGTGGCCGAGTTGACTTGTGGCAGAGTTGGATCGAATTCATACTAGGACCCAGAAAACAATCTAGGCCTAGGCTTAGGCATTGCCATTATTTAAGGCCAGGTAGCCTAGAGGAGGCCTAGCTAGGTCTAGCTTGGCCTACCTAGGCCTACTAGGCTAGGCCCTAGATGAGTACTGCGAAAATTTGTCTTCTAACCAGTAAAAAATTGGCATATTGTGCAGGCCTAGGCTAGCTAGTTTCTATTAAATACAGTACCTGCTTACATACACTCTCAGCTAATTCATACTCATCATAGGCCTACCTAGCCCAGGTCTAGGCTAGTTCATACACAAAACATGGACTCAACATAACGGAACGCCCGATATTGATTGAATCCAGGGGATGGTCAGTGGGAAATGAATCCGAGACGATGTCCCGGCCTAACTAGGAAAGGTTGAAATAATATCAACTCGAAGAATATTAACAGAAATACACACTGCACTCACTTACATTAGATCCATAAGCGGTGTCCATGTGTTGTTTAGTAACACAAAAACACTTTCAAATTATGTAATAATGTCACCTTTTCTTTACTCGCTCCCTGGGCGTTTGCGTTGCACAAGAGAGAGGCTGATATATTTGTGTGTAGAGCGCAGGAAGGTCAACGGTTATTAGGCATGCGTATATCTTGTGTTTGCTTGTATATGACGTAATATACTAAATTCGTTTCGATGAGGGAAACTACACTGATGTGGATACACTCATATTTTCCATTACGCCCGGTTTGATAATAAACCATCAGTGATAACGTGTTGTTGAATCAGAAATCCACGTGACAGACAAAATCAACGAACATAAAAAGTTAGAGAAATATTATAGTCCCCTATATAGGCCTATCATACACATTTAGATAGGTGGCACTCAAAAATCATTTGGTGCGTTCTAATATAAACCCAATATAAACAAATTAATATGTTAGCTAAAGTACATAAAATAACAAAATTAAACAATACATATAATTTGTAAGTCAGGAAATAAACACAAGTAGTAGTGCTACTGATGTGGCAGGTAGCTCCTCGAAAAACATGAAAATATTGCATAAAACATGCTTCACTTGTACAAATTTCGAAGAGCACGGCCTGTACCATCAATCAACTCTACAGTATTCGGTACATTTCCACGTCAGGCAGGGCAAAATTACACTTATACAAAATATTATACTTATGTTAAGCCTGGAGCGGGGAAAAGTAAGAAAAGAAAAGTGTCATGTCTTCTTCATTATTTGTATTGCATTCCATTCTTGTCCTCAGGACCTAGAAAAACTTCTATCAGTCACTAGAACGAAGTATAAATTTCAATGATACACTTTCAAAATCCAAGTTATCTAATAAATCATTTTTTAATTTAATTGTATCTTTAAATAATGAATAATCGGTCCTCAGATTCACATTTAATAGAAAGATCAGAAATACATTTCACAAATTTGAAACGAAAGTTAATAGGATCACACTGAAACTGATTTGTTTTAGGAGTTTTGGCCAATGATAAGGTTTCATATTAAATGATCAACGTATTTTTTGAAATTTTAAAGTTAAAACACTTGAAGTTTCATGCATGATTTTCATTGGTATCCATCCAAGTTCCCATATAATGTAAATCGGGGTGGGTTCATAGTGGCTTTTAAAATTTCGATTTCTGAACATCAAATTTTGCCAGAATGTGAACGATCATTCTGGTGACCGGAAACCGTTGTCCCACAGCTATGATTTTATTTCATTGACCATCAAAATACACATAAAATTTAAATTTAAAAAAACCAATAAAAACAAAAAATAATAAAAACAAAAAAAAAACAATAAAAAAACAAAAAATAATAATAATAATAATAATAATAATAATAATAATAATAATAATAATAATAATAATAATAATAATAGAAAACAATAAATAATCATAATATAGATCCGGGACTGGAGTGTATACTGAACAAAGTGAGCTAAATTTTAACATGATCCGGTCCAGTGCCAGTGGTAAAGTCCAGGGGCGGATATAATCAAAACTCTTCAGTAATTTATAGATTTTACAATTTCTACCTATACATCCTGTACAAAGTGTAGTCTCTATATATTATTATCTCTGCTGTATCCAGAATGTGTCATGGAGGAATATCAAGAATCGATCAAATAGAGTACACTACACAATATATATATTTGTTTGATAAATTTTCCAAGAAGTAGGAGCAAAACTACTGGACACAACAGTTCAATTCAGTGGTCAGCCCCTTAAAAACGGTGATAATTATTTTGAATATCAATGGCGCACTGAATATTTAAAACTCCACGTACCCTGCCCTAATCCGATTGTTACATAATAAACGACCCGTTTATTTTTTTCTCGATTATACGCCCCCTAAATGTAAACAAATCTATTGGAAGCAATCATTCTATTAAATGTTCTACTCTAGTAGAATTACATTTTTTCTAACCTGGTTTGAATCAATAAGATTTATTTTCAAGCAACAACACATTAAATTAATGGCGTGATGATTGCTGGTTTGACCGTCATCCTCAACACACAACGAGTACAGTCTGTATTAAGTTTGATATTTGGTTTTATGTTTTTCCTTATCCGCAATTTGTGAATTTTGATCAACTTCAGAATCTCATAATTCATTAAAATTACAATTTTATTTTTCAGTTACTTTCGCCACCAACACTGTAAAAACAGACGCGTTTTTGGCTCATCTTTCGCAAGTGATCATCAATATAGCCTACAGTGATAGGGGCATTGTGTTGAATTATTGAAAGCTTTGATGTGCAGTCTGGTATAACATTCTTATCTACAGTATTACTTTCGTTTAATTTGTATCTCACGCACTGAACACAGATTTCAATTGCCATGTAAGCAACAGTGCACCATAACACCACAAGTGTACGCAACCCCTGCAATCAATCATAATTGTTGTCATTATTGTTTCACACTCAAAATTTGAGAGTTACCCTATACAGTACATATCAAGACTTTATAAATAAATAAAGACTACTGAAACTAGTTATTTGTATTACTTTAATTTGTTGATTATATTCATTAACAAATTAATGTAGGTGAGACTTGGCTTGTAATTCATTCTTTGTTTATACATTATGCATAGATTTATACTTTGATACTATTTTCTATAGGGTGCAGGTCAACTCGGCCACAAGTCAACTCGGCCACAGTCAACTCGGCCACAAGTCAACTCGGCCACAAGTCAACTCGGCCACAAGTCAACTCGGCCACAAAAAGTTCGGCTACAGCCAACTCGGCCATAAGTCAACTCGGCCACAAATCAACTCGGCCACAAATCAACTCGGCCACAAGTCAACTGGCTACGTTCTACTCGGCCACAAGTCAACTCGGCCACAAGTCAACTCGGCCACAAGTCATTTAATGTAAATCTAAGTTTTTGCATCCTTTTTCTTCAATATA